CACCGGCTGGCATGCGTGACAGCACCTTTTTATCCCTTTCTGGGCTGAAAGTGCTGGCCTCGCTAACTCGGGCCTTGCAGGCATACACTTTCACAGTCCTCACGCTAACTATGCAAAAGGCTTAGACCAGCCAAGATAGTTGTTTAAAGCTATTTATCTGGGCAGTTGATTTGCTTGTGATATTAGAACAAATATATATGAACATAAACATGATACAACATATCTGGTTATTGCTATGGTATGTGAGCTGGATTGATCTGCCCAATCAGATATTGGATGGCAACTGAAAATACTGGCCTTGCTCACATAGAGTATTGGAAATGGTTAACCCCTTTTCACAGTAGCCATATGATACAATTCTGCCTGCTTTGGAGACCCTTCAGTTAAATTTAGCTTTTTTTTTACCCTTTTTTATGTATATTTTTTGATGAGTTTCGTCTTTGTAAATGAACAAGGAATTCAACATTAATAAAAGTGTTTTTCATTGTGTGTAAATGCTACTGAGGTGGTACATGATTTTCTAAAATCAAGAAAGTTGTTGTTGTGCTGTCTGTTTTATTAGAAAGAACTGCTGTCTTTGTAAAAAGGTGTGACTTGTTTTCACAGCTGGGGGTTCTCACCCCTCCCCTTTCAGCACTCATTGCTCGCTAGCTGCTCAACACATTTCACCCACAGAGAGCCAGCAGTATCCCAGATTATGTAATAACAGGGTTATGGGGGACAATATTGTATTTATTATACTCATTTTCATTCATATTCATATTGATTTCCATTCTACAGCAGAATGGCCACTAGGGGGCCTGCAGAAAGAGGCTGTGTTAACATACTGACAGGCATAAAATTATTGTATTAATGCTTGTATTCCATAAATAAACACTTCATGATCAGATAAATAGATAATAATTTTGTCAGGTGGCCTAAATATTGTGGTCATTTAGTGTCCTGTGCTTTGTAGGTGAGTCTGGCTCGAAACGTCATTCCCTTGAAACATCATGCCCATCAGCTCTGTCAGTCTATTTTCGTCCTGTGCGACAGGAAGCACACCTGGATGGTGAAGTGGAGCTTCCATTTGGATTTGACCCTCCCACTGGGTCAATCAATACCGTTACACAACTGTAAAATGACACAGTGCTGGTGCTGCGGTGCTCACTAGGCCTGCTTTTGTCTTCAGCTCATAGATAATGAAAGCGCAGGGCCGGAATCTATTGCCATAAAGAATCGCTGATGTTTCTGCACTCAGTGAAAGGCATGTTTTGCGAACAGAATTGATCTGAAGGATTTAACTGAAATCTTTATACGGCTTTGTGTGAATGTTGCTCCCATGCAATTTTTATGAAGATTAATTAGGATCTATTTGTATCATTCTGCGCTAAACTCTTAGCTTAGTTCTAAAATTCCTCTCCTTTCGGATTAAAGTGGGGATATTTTTTGGTCAGCCTTGGTAGTTCGATTCTCCCTCACGCTCTCGCGCTATGTATGTGTGTTTGTGCTGACAATCAGGGCTGCAGTTGAAAGCAGGCACACCAACAAGTGTCTCATTAGGCTGAGGAGATGCTGTGGAATCAGATGACTTGGCATTGGGGTTAATAGCCTAACCCAGCTCATGCCAACATCGCCGCTTCATTCATTACAGCATGCAGCCAAGCACCACTGCCCATCACCGCTAACAATAGCCCTCATTCATTAAAGGAATCTAAAAATCATTATATTAAAGCATGAGCAATGATCGCACATCTGATATGTCAGTCTTTTCGCACTTCAGCCTGGGCCATATATTTGCCTGCAGCTTGCTCATGGTTAAAACTGCTTAGGTTAAATTGGACTACAGTGGGGGATTCATATGTCATTGCTTTCACCTTATCATTGTATGGGTCTCATACAGTATGCTATATTACATCAAACCATTGTCGGGCATAAGCAGAAACATAAGGAAGCAAAGGACATGGGTCAGTTTCTCGTCTGTGCTCTGAGGTATTTGCACTGCACAAATAATAATCATCACAAATGCTAGGAATGAAATTGGACAGCGCATTGGCTAACCTATCAGCGGTTTCACAGTCATTTCATTCTTAAAATAATTCAGCGCTGTTGTGGTTTGGCTGTTCGTACGAGAGACGAGCCGCTCTACCATCAGCAGTAACAGGCTCCATTGAGCAATGCTTTGCAAGTCGGTCCAGCCGCAGCTCTCTGCCACGTCTAATGAGTCACAACATACGTTTTGGCTCACACGGAGGAGCATTAAACTGGAGTGAAGAAAAAAAAAAAGGACTCGGTAAGAACTTTATGTCATCCACATGGCTAGAGCTCATTTCCTCGCCAGAATAAAGTGTGCGCTCGCCCCATGTGGAGCAGGACACGGAGAGCTGCAGCAGCTGCTCATTAGGAGCCGTTGCGTAAGCAGGAAAGAGGCTGGGGGAGTGGGGGGGTTATGGGAAGTGTGTGATGGTCCCAGCTGCATCTGATGGTGAGCAGGCCAGTGGAGCACTGTCGAGCATTCCCAAGACAACATGAGCACTTTCTGGCTCCACCATAGCACTTCTTTGCCATAGCAAATCACTTAGTGGCAGTTATAGCAGCAGTTTGCATTGTGTGGCCGCTTAAAGCGAACCGAGACGAGCACTGTGAATGCCTTTACTGAGTCGTCAGCTGCTGTTAATTTGTTTCTGAGCTTTGTTTTAATGACGGCTTATGATGCTGCAGGTGAAAATCACTTGCTAATTGAACAACTGTATGTTAGGATTAGCGTGCTGAATATGTTTGCCTTCTCTGTATTTCCTGTGTTAGTAGAGTTGAATGGAGTCCTTCAGTGGAGAATGTATGCAGTTATTGATACTGGCATCTGAAAAAGAGAAGAAAAAGCAGCACACACTTGTTGGATCAAAACCTTGTATCTCCAAAATGGTAACTGTACAGAAGAAGGAAAAAACATACTTTACTTTTAATGTAAGACAATGGAACCAGATTTTTTTCCAAGTAATTTTGGGTCATTTCTTTTGGTCAGTTCATCATGAAATTTACACACAGTGTAAAGAGAAACAGGTATTTTAAAATTATGTCAAAAACTGAAAAATATACAAGGAGATACAAAGTTTTGTTCTGACAGCAGTGAACAGCTTATATGGAAGAAGAACTTGCTTATGTTGGACTTGGCAGTGTGCTAACATGGCAAAAAGCTATAAGGAAATTGTTGGCTTCTGTGGAGCAGTAATGATGTCATCTAAAGCTTGTCTGAAAGTCTTAACTTGAGATGGCTCAGATCTGATACTTGGTATCAGAATTGGGACGATATCAACAGCGAGTACTGGAGATCGGATATTGGATATCAGATATCGGCTCATCTTAAGTGAAGAGCTTCAGTTAATATGCAGTGGAGTCCTAAAGACTGAGACCACATTGAAAAACTGGATTTTTATCGGTTTAAACCTGGACGTTTTTGAATTTTGTGAAAACAAAGGAAAGTTATGACATGTAAAATGAAGAAATATTCAATATTCTGCACTATTTCTAGGTCACTGTTCAGATTGAATCAAATTTCTAACACTGACCATGTTAGGGTCAGTTTTTTAGTCTCACATCTTGCATTGAAGCTCATGGTCAGACAGCTCTCGGGTTGATCCGATCTACTCATCAGAGGCTTTTGTACAAGCATGAAGCCCATGCCAGCTCGAGTGTGCACTGTCTTTAAAGCAGAAGTGGTACATATGTGCTATTCTAAAATTTATGTAAAGATTTCAAAGGTTGTGCTTTTCACTTAAATTGTTATGCCGATAATAGAATTTGTATTGAAAAATGTTGTGTTAAATAAAAAAAAAGTGGAAGAATTTTCACATAGTCCCAAACTAGTCCCAAACTAGAGGTGGGTAGTGTGGCAGAAATGTATAATTATGTTACTTCAAGAGGTTTTCATGATATGTCACAATATTAATTTTTAAAATTGATTTGGGACTGACAAATTAGTCACATTTAAAAATATTATCAGAAACTGTAAAAAGTATCATGTGTATTCAGCATTTCGGCGCTGCTGTGCACTAAATCTAGTTAAATGTGACTAATTATGCTCTTTTTAATTAAACATGCAGTTAGGAAGTGCTTAAGAATTAAATAAATGTAATAAATATTGTCATATTGCCTAGCTCTAGGTATCGCTGTCGGTATTGGCCGATACGCAAGGTTTCAATATTATTGGTATTGGAATGAAAAGGTGGTATTACAGCTTCACATCTAACACATTAGTAATGTTGCATGCTTTTATTTCTAGAATTGAGCACTTTAGTTTTAAATTCTGTTTAATTATAATATGTTTTATGATTTTATGGGCCTTTGTGTTGCTTGACTTGGAAAATGTTTGACCAGTGCCATTAATTGATATGCTTTAAGTTTTGGTGAAGTCTGTGCTTATACAGATGTCTTATTGTTCCTACATGTAAGCGTGTGAATGGTCAGCTATTTTTGCTGCAAGAACAGACATTAATTCCCATCTGCAAAATGTAATTTAAACTCTGGGTTAACTCTTTGTTTTTTTTTCAAACATTAGTCTGCTCATTTCTCCACATAGTACTGATATTATTGTTCATACCTAATGTGTACATTTAATAAAACCCATTCGTTCAGGACTAATTTTATGAGAAAAATAGTCAAAATTGATAAAAATGGTTTGGAAAGAAAAGAAACCTCACTTAACTTTCATGACATAAAAACGTACCATCATAGTTAACCCCTTAAACTGCAGGCGTACTGTTTGGGTAATCTTAAAACTCATTATTCAGTAACTACTATGAAACTAATCTGTAAGTTATGTAGTTATATGAGTGACTGAAGTGTAGACCCACATATGGGGCCCTTTCAGGGTTTTAAAGAGTTAAAGCCTACTTGTTCTTGACTGTTATTAAGGGAAAATTGGCAAATATGAATTAAAAATAGTTCCAAAAGGAAAGAATCTCCTGTAACACAGTTAACCTCATAAAGTGTTTCCCTGACCGTTTCTGTATTTGTCCATGCAGGTACCTCCTCACTTTGGCCAGCAGGGCATGGGAGGGTACTGTCCGCAGGGCCAGCCATATTTCAGCCAGTCCCAGCAGCAGCAACAGCAGCAGCAGCAGCAACAGCAGCAGCAGCCTGTGACCCCCACACAGCCCCCCTACATTCAGCCCCGCACCGCTCCACAGCAGGTAAGGCCGGCCTCCATCTAGCCATTATTTGCTGTGGCTCCCGCTGAGCTGAGGGCCGAGCTGCCTGCCCGTGGGCCGATCGTTCTGATTAGTTGTCCAGATTATTCATGAGTTCTATTTCTGGCATTTCCTGCACCTCGCTCGTTCACTGGTTCAGACCACGCAGGCATAACTCTGGCTGGCCTCCTTACACCAGGGCTGTCATCAGTGTGGCTAGAAGACCGGGAGGGGTTTTTTTTTGGCATGAGAAAGCCTGTGAAATGTATTGCCAGTTAATAGCGGGGCTGGTGTTTTTACCCAGCGGAAACACCAGTGTTTGCTTTGCTCATTTTTGTGTCATGATTTCGACTCACGCACGGAAATGAGAGTTAATTCTTTCTTTTTCTTTTAATCTGTGTTCTTACTGAGCTTTTTATTTGTAGACAAGAAAAACAGCGTCTTTGGGAAAACAGGCACGCAAATAAAAGGGGAGCGAGTTGAGAAAGGCCAGTGCCGCTGCACTGCTAGCCTCTGAGAAGGCCATGTGTTTCTCATTGTCTGTGGCGCGAGAGGAATCTGCCTATTTTAACTGACCTCCAGTTGCAGACTGAGGGGGAATTTGGCTGGTGGAGTATGCGCTGCAGGGAAGGCCAGCAGTCTCCTGTGCGTCACAGGAAAGGGAATGGGAGGTGCGGCCACTTTGGGAAAGCTCGAGGCGAAGTTTGGTAACATTCGGGAGGGCCTGGAGATATCATGCAACACCCCGTTGAATGTGTAGGCCACAGCAGAAATTTGCTCTGGTGAAATCCGCAATAGCTTTTCAAACCTCTGTTTTTTTCCCTCCGGGTTTTCTATCCAAGACACTCCTTATTTCACAACCCGCCTGGCTCTTTCTCAACACTGGACTCCAGTTTAGCGCTCCCTTTCCTTCCTCCTCAAAGGGCGATTGCATTAATCAAGTCCAGCTCTTTATCTCTCTATTCCCTCTCTCACGCCTGCTGCCCATACTTGAAGGCTGATGTAGGTCAGGTCGGCTCCAGGCTATTTGTATTCTGGAATAGTAAATTATCCACAGGAGTCCTGAGAGGAGAGACAAACTTGACCTTTGGATAACACCTTGGACTGATCCTCTTTATTCAAATTGTGTGTGAGGTGTTGTGAGCGTTATAACAGTTGTGTTTGTCCTTTTTCGTAAGCTGAAAGAGGAGAATTATGGTGGCTTCAGAGGCTTGAATCTTTTTTTTTTTGCTTTGGAACAAAACAGCACTGTCTGTGCCATTCCTCTTTTGTGTCAGATGGTGGTCTGGTTTAAACTGTGCTTTTATTAAGCCATGTCTTTTTGGAGTGAACTTTAAAAAGTCATCTCTTTATGATTTTGACAGTTTGACTCCCAATTTATAGGCCCCCTCTACCTCCATTAACCCAGGATATGGGACATCGTCCAGTTGATTGCTCAGTTCAACAACTTCTCTGCTTTTGTATTTGCCAGCAAATTGAAGGCTCAATTGGAGAGGGGACAGTTTTATCTCACAATCGCATCAACTTTAATGACGAAGGTGTTACATTTGACAGTCTTCACCGGTGCTCAGTTTTTGATCACACGCTGAAGGAGAAGACCTAATTTTGTGGATATATTGACAGATGTTGAAGGATTATGGATCTATATGAGTGGCTTTATGACAGTGCCAAGGTCCTGCTATAAATCAGTAGATTAAGAAGATGGTCCCCTCATCCCATTTCGCCCTCTAAAACTGCTGTCTGTACACCATTAGTCTCACAGGGCCAGGCCTGATCTCATACTGAGACTGTCTGAGGACAACCAGGGGAAATTTTTGGCTAAACGTGGGTGGGAATATAGATTTATTTAGAGGGAATAAAAAGAGTATGAAATTTCTGAAGCAGTCCAGAACTTTGTGAAGGTGGGCTTCAAAAAAAGGCAAGCATTCAACATTGTCAACATTGTACAACGGACAACAAGCCTGTCCTTAGCCCATGATTGTAATGTAAGTTAGCATGACTGAAAAGACCCCCAAGAAACTCCAATAAAGCATCTATGTCACCCTTGTGGAGAACGAATTTTACACGCAGTAAAATTAAATGTTAGCTCTTTCAAGGGAAAAACATTTCTGGTAAATCAGACTATACTTTAACTTTTGAAGATATCAGATACCTGAGTTACTGTCTTTAAACAAAAGGGTTTCATGGAATCGATTATGAGCATTGAGCACACCTCTAAAAACTACAGAGTGTGTTCTGGAAACAGTAGCGTTTTCCTAGCTAACTCATTTAGCTTGTGCTATCGATTGTTCTCTGGACATGGAGCCAATTCTAAAATGAACTGATTCCTCAATTCCAAGGATTTGTGAATTTCTTTGGACTCAATTTCACACAGTGACATTCACATTTGTCCGCACCTGCATGCACGAAGAGTGAGATATTCTGTTGTCACTGTCTAGACAGGCTGTCTGAAAATGACTTTTTCTACAGCACACACATCAGAAGTCAAGCTGCGTTTTACTTTGGAAGAAGTAGAAAACAGTAAAATGCAAATTTTGAAAAGAAAAATTGGCTTATGATCAAACAATATTGCCAAAAGTACCAAAATATCTACTCTACAGGAGAATCACTGCTAGTGAGCTGAGTGAACTTAATTCAGCTAGCATTGCTCTCCTATTCTGCAGTGCCTGGAAATATTCTTGAAATCCTTACCAATACGTAGAAATGGCAACACATAGCCATTAGACTGTAGACAACCATTGTGCGTTAACCTTACATGCTAAGTCAGTAGCCACCAATTAGCATAACTCCATTAGCATAATGAGAAATAGTGCCTATACGATTTCATTCACTCTCAGCAAAATTAGCATTTTGAATTGAACTATTTTTTTAAAGCAGATGGTGAAGAGCTTTATGGTGACATCCTAAATTTCCCAAAGTATCATAGAGGTGCTGAGAGACCCGGATACCCCACTAATACATAGTTCTAGACAAATGTGTAAGAACACAGTGCAGCTAAGAGCTAAAGAGCTAAAGAACTTCCTTCTGGATCTCCTGCCAGTAGTGGTTCAGCACATGGGCTAACCTTTTCTCATCTTCTTTTTGTCCAAAGACCAGCTCTTAAGAGAGGTTGATATGGAACGGGCCTTTTTTCTTTCTATTCCGTTCAGCCAGATTAGGCAGTAGGTTAGACCTGCCTGGGCCGTGTAGAGGGAGCTTTTCTCCAAAGAGCCGCCGGGCTGTGTGAAGACTCTCTGCTTTTAGCCTGACCTTTCTTTATCTTCATGGGAAGCTGCTTGTGTGAATTGAGAGCCAGGTTTATTTCTGAGGCCACTCTTATCTCTTCTGTGAAGCTCCAAGCTCAGACAAACTGTTCCAGTTTGAGGATTTGATTTCCCCCATCCTCTGTCTTCACACTGCCTTTTTTTGCTGGTTCACACTCATGGTCAAATACCAGTGTCGTTTTATTTTCTGGGGAAAAGAAATGCATAATTCATCTTAATTACTTCTTAATTGCAATTGCATATGGATTTTATGTACACTGACTAAAAATCAACATCAAATTTGAAACATCAAATTTATCTTTGTTTACCCAAATGTACTCGATCATCTAAGACATGTTTGGTGGCTTTTTCAGTTTTGCACTGGAACTAAGATGCTAATATAGCTAAGTGATTCAAGCTTATACCCCACCAATTAGCACTGTGCAAACTGCAGACCTAAATCATAATGCCCTTGCCTCCACCCACATTAAGCTTGTGAAAGAAATAGCCTGACTAAACATGCTAATGTGGACAGCGATGATTGAAATCTGGTAGCCGTCAATTAGCATGACTATTTACTCTCATTTGCTGTTAGCATCATTAGTATTTTTGACTAAGCTATTCCTTTAAATGGCCTATATCATGGAAAACTCAATTTTCCCCACTTTTTTGAAAAAAAAAGAGTTTGATGTGGTACGTAAACATTGTTACATTTTCAAATGTTCCATTCACTCCCCAATCCACAGTCATGGAAACAAAGCTGCAAAAACAGTTTTCTTTTCACTTTTTGTCATATCACGAAAACCGATGCATTTGCATATATCTGTTCAGCCTATAGCAGTTTAGCTCCACCCATTCACTCTGACATTATAAGGAGTGTTTTATCCTGGACAACTTTTTGAATCAAACACAATACAGAACAGAAATCATTTACACATCGCTGCTGTCGGAACAAGACCTCGTCTCTATTTTTTGTCGTTTTTCAGTTTTTGATATAATTTGAATATACATTTTGCCCTTTACATTGTTTGTGAATTTCATGATGAATGGACCAAAAGAAACGGAGCAAATTTACTTGGAAAAACGTCTGGTTCCATTGACATTACATTACATTAAAAGTAAAGTAGGTTTTTTCCTTCTCCTGTAAAGTTACCATTTCAGAGATACAAGGTTGTGTTCGGACAGCAGTGATATGTCAGTCTTAAAGGTACCGTAACAGAGCAGCCTATTAAGTGCGAGGGATAAAGACAGGTTGGAAAAATCAAGTGAAAATGAATGATGACTGTGTGTGTAAATAAAACCACATAAATGTAATAAGTGGACTTTTTTAAAAATATGTGAAATGCAAAAAAATGCTGGATATTGGCCCTTCATGTAATCTCAAATAGACTTTCTTTTGTGGCTTGACATACTGTTATCTATAAAAACAGACAAGGAAAAACTGTGGTTGAACTGTCGCTTTAATTGTATGTATTTTCTAGGCACTGGCTGCTTAGTCTGAAGTCTCCAGGCTGTAGTGTCCATACGAGCTATTATCTGTTTAATCTGCTCCTCAGTAAACCCTCGAGTTTCTCCTCTCCTCTCCTGTGATTGACATATCAATGGCCTCCGCAGCCCTTCCTGTGCTATTCTGAGCCGCAGCCAGCAGACGAGGGGACGGAAAAGCGAGTGATACCCAGAGGCGGGTAGAGGGAGAGATGGAATAGGCCAGCTTTGTTCCTGAGTTAATGTGGCCAGCTCAGCGCCGCGGCTCTGAGTGCT